ACTTGTTGGGTCTTTCCCAAAAAGACTCATGGCTGTATTCGATCAAAAGGGTGCTTCTACTAAATACTGAGCAAAGGGTCTGAATACTTAGGACCATGTGATATTTCAGTTTTTCTTTTTTAATAAATCTGCAAAAATGTCAACAATTCTGTGTTTTTCTGTCAATATGGGGTGCTGTGTGTACATTAATGAGGGAAAAAAATTAACTTAAATGATTTTAGCAAATGGCTGCAATATAACAAAGAGTGAAAAATTTAAGGGGGTCTGAATACTTTCCGTACCCACTGTATATATTTAAAAGACTTGGTCCACTGGTGTTAGCCAGGCACTGTAATGTTCTGGTCTCTGTGTGTGTTTACTATACATGGACCAAACGTGAGTCTGACTACTGCTATGATGTTAAAGCAAACAGTATAAATGTAAATAAATATGCTAAGCTAGTTATAAATGCTGGTGAAAGTAATTATATGTAATCTTTAATCAATACATATGTGATCAAGTCTTTCTGGGATGGTTAACTGAGAAGCCTGTTAAAACATGTGGCATTTTAAAAGAGCACATGAAAAAATTATTTGAGCTGCTCTTTCAGAAACTTTTTGTATTCATTCCACTGCTGAACCGCAACATACATCAATGTAACCTTCAGTAACTGATCAGAACTATACATCTTTGGTTATTCTGCCAAGACACGTGAGAAAGTGTGCCTTAAGTCTCCATATCGTTTTGTTTATAACTGTAAAAAAATAAGAATCTTCTCTTTTCTAAGGACAAACAGTCAATGAATCAGTCAACCACAGATCACACAACTGCCATGATGTGGATGGTAAATCTTACTTCTCATTATAAACTATATTGTTATATAAACTAATGCCTGCTGTGGTCTAGAATGAGTCTGGATATTTTGTGATTGAGTAATCTCAAGAAATGCTTTAATTACTAAATAGTAACTTACATTATTAATCATTTTCCTTGCTCTTTCAGGAGACAAAAATACTGAAATAACCTATGCATCAGTTGTTTTTAAGCCACACAACTGCCATGACAATGAAGGTAATTTTATTATGTCAGTTATGTTGTATTACAGAATTTTGAACTGTTTCGCTTATACTGTACATCATGTGACACAATCGCTCTCTTTTGTAAGACATTTTTCTCATCATGTTTTTTTTGTTTTGTTTTTTTATCTACTCCCTGATCAGTTCTTCTAAATAATGACGCTGTAAATGGCTCTGCATCAGAACTTGTCAGCTCAGAGAAGGTCCTTTATGCTACTGTCAAGCAAAGAGACAGAAGATGAGCAAGTGAGCAGCGAAATATCCAAATTAAAACACTCAAGAAAAAACTAATGATTCTAGAGAATTCCCATCTTGTATTGTTTGATTTATCAGCAATTGAATCTAACAGGAGTGGAAATGCTGTATAGGCTTATCTTGCAAATAAAAATGACTGTACAAGTGCTCTGAAAAGATGAACAGTGAGGGCACCAATCCACCGTAGCTTGTACAGTCTAATTTATGCTCTGTTTTTAAGCAGAAATTTGTTTTGTCATGTTAATGTGAACACAAATCCAGATTACATTTGTCTTGTGCTGTTTTTATTAGAGTATTAGAGACACAAATCACATTTTGAACTATTTTTAATTTTAAACTAATTTAACTAAATGACCAAAAATGTGATATGTAGATGAAGACCCGAGAAGTAACCTCATTTGGACCTTTTCTAAAGCACCAGGGAAACCAAAGTAAGCTAATTCATACCCTTTTCTCTTAAAAAAGAAAGAAAAGAAAATCTAAAACAAAAATGTATTAATTTATGAGAAATGAGTGAATCGACCCTAATTGTAGAAAGAGTCTAATGTTTATCTAGAATGTATATTGGCTTGGTCTTTACCTTTTATAGTTATTTGAAAGTCATACTCTTGGCTCAGTTGAGTTGTAACTGTGGATGAATGGTGTGAAACTGAACTCAGCTACTTTATCACCTAAACCACTGAAGTCTTTGCAGACAATGTGACAGGACCACACATGCAACAGTAAGGCACGATAAAACAGGTGTAGGAGCAGTAACTGTCTATCTGGTAAAGAAGCATGTTATGGATTTGAGTTAGTATAAAGCCACTCCAGGCCAAGATGCTTACAGGAAACCAGAGTGGAAATCCCCATATCCATGAACGTCTTCACAAAAAGCCACAGCTTCTGTTTTGTCGCATAGCAAATATTCGGTTGTGCAAGTCTTGTATGAAAATGTTTTCTCACTACTGATGCTTTTTTTAAATTCCTAATTAAAAACAGCTTTCAAAACTGCCTGTAAAAGTTTCATCACAGTTTCTTCATATTAATTAACATAAGGCAAAACTGTATTTTCAGACTGTCTTGTGAACATACTGCCTGACATAAAAACAATTATGCTGTCTAGTTGTAAGGATGAGATTAGGCTCAATGACATGTTTCATTTTGCAAGTACGTTAGATTTACAGTAGACCTGACTTGAAAAACAATTGTTCAATCATTCAACTGTATATGACTCCAGTATTGTCATAGTTATACTGGAGCTCTCTGCACATTAAGTGCTGGCTTTGAGCTTAATTTTGAACAGGCAGTATTTAACTTGCGGCAGTTTATTTGATCTAAAACCTATCATCACTGACAGAATGGTGCTAATCTAAAAACACCCCAATATTTGGAAGGAAACTAGCGTGCACTAGCAGAAAAGTTAGATAAACTAGAATCTGGCATCAGGTATCCTCTTCGGGTTGGTTCTGAGGTTGTGGTGAAGTGTTGTCAGAAATGTGATTGTGCATGTGTGCTGTGATGGACTGCTGTGGTTTACACTTTACAAATCTGTAAGACCTGGCAAGAGGCTTAAGATTTCACCTACTTGTTCAAATCCTCCCAGATAAACACCCAGCTCAAACAGGTGCCCCAGAAAAATCAGAAGGTCTAGGAATATTTACAGGTAGCCTGTCTTTTATAAACCACACAGGATTCTCCAGAGATTTTATCTTGATCACTATAAAACCTAGATGCCTTATTTAGGTACAATATGGTACACTATTCTGACACTAAGTCATGTTTTGATATGGACAAAAACAGACCCAGCTTTTAAATTACACAGATATATACAATATGGGCATAGAGTATGTTTAGAAGATTAGATAGTGAAATGTACCATGTAATGTAGCCTATCTAAATTTGGTTTCCCACGACTTCCTCCTAGAGGTCACCAATGTCTTTCTGATCGCTTTCTACACAGCATGACGCATGGTCTAGTCACGACCTAGCCATAAATGTCAATAACTTCTTAATCTCTTTAAAGTTGAAGCAAATTCTCATTCTGGGCTACAGCTGACTGACTCCTAGAACTAACCGGAACTAAGTGCTCTAGGACGCTTATACTTGGTCATACTTATATATTTATTTGAATAGAATATACAAAGAATATTTAGCATTCCCCTCTCACACCCCTCCCCCAAAACACTTCTTAAGAATGTTGTTATCTCTTTTTTTCCCTTTAGATTGTTCAAACCTTCCAGAATTTAAATGAATGAAAATGTTCTTTAAAACTGTCTTAAATAACCAAAGCGGACATAACACACATAATTTCTGCCAATCTGATGTTAATCGAGTACCTATATAGTAGTATTGCATTCATATCTCTGAAGAGTCTTAAGTTTTATCAAATTTATAAAAGACATACAGCTTTACAATTCTCTCTGAAAGCAGTCAAGCTGCTGGAGGCGTGCCGTGGGCGGAGCTAAAGAGTCACGAGCAGCTTTCGCGTAGCGATCGTCTGCAAGCTGACATCGACATAAATAAAACAGGAACTAAAACTTTATTGACTTCAATTTGATTTAATTTGTTTATAAAACACCGAAATGCCAGGAACAAGACACTTGCTGCCCCAGAGGAACAAGCTACATCACTTCCCTTAAGGCTAGCTTCTTTGGGAAGCTTAACAGAGCTATCTTTCCCTCACAACCAAAAACACTTCTTTGGTGGCATTGTTGATTTCGTGATCTTGAAACAAAATGACAAATGCTTCTCGAGCAAGTTCTGTGCAGCGCTGCCGACAGTAGCCCCTCACTGCAGAACAAAGATCCAGGGGGTGTGCTTGGATCCACATCTAGGGGGTGGAGATGGTAGGTTTAGGGGTGGAGATGGGTGGGTTTGGGGAGCAGGGGGTGGAGATGGTAGGTTTTGGGGTGGAGATGTGTGGGTTTGGGGAGCAGGGGGTGGAGACGGGTAGGTTAAGGTATATGTAAGGTGGGATGAGTTGGATCTGGATCCAACCACGCCCCCTGGATCTTGTGTTCTGCAGTGAGGACCATCTCGCTGCCGACGACTTGCGTAAACCCAAATGAAATGAAGGAAACACGTTGAAGGGCGTGCTCGTGCTCATGCTCTGTGGTGCGTTTCCCAAAAGCATCGTTAGCCAACTATGGTCGTAAGTTCCGTGTTACCAACATAGTTCATGGAGCTCCCGAGTTCCCGAAACCATAGTTCAAACGAACATTCGCAAACAGCGTCGCAAACTTACGGGTTAGAATATATACAGGTGCATCTCAATAAATTAGAATGTCGTGGAAAAGTTCATTTATTTCAGTAATCAAACAACTCAAATTGTGAAACTCGTGTATTAAATAAATTCAAAGCACACAGACTGAAGTAGTTTAAGTCTTTGGTTCTTTTAATTGTGATGATTTTGGCTCACATTTAACAAAAACCCACCAATTCACTATCTCAACAAATTAGAATATGGTGACATGCCAATCAGCTAATCAACTCAAAACACCTGCAAAGATTTCCTGAGCCTTCAAAATGGTCTCTCAGTTTGGTTCACTAGGCTACACAATCATGGGGAAGACTGCTGATCTGACAGTTGTTCAGAAGACAATCATTGACCCCCTTCACAAGGAGGGTAAGCCACAAACATTCATTGCCAAAAGAAGCTGGCTATTCAAAAAATATTTTTCAAATATTTTATAAGTCAGTACACAATATAAAAAACTTCAACAGGCTATAAATGTTTCTGAGCTTGTATCACTAAAGAGGACATGCAGTTCTATTAAAATTACATAGGCTACTTAAATGGAATAAATCACGTTTTAGTGCAAGTTTAAGAGCAACAAACACTTTTGAATTTCCTAACATTAGAAAGATATACAATAATATCAAAGCACTGAAACGGGATCCGTTTTGAAAACAATGTTTGATTTTCTGTTATTAACAGAGGTGGGAA